GGGAAAAATGGGGCAAAAAACGGGGATTTTGGGAAAATTGGGAATTTTGGGGGTCCTGGAGGGGAGCCCCGTGTTCACGGTGGGGAGGGAAAATGGGGCAAAAAACGGGGATTTTGGGAAAATTCGGGAATTTGGGAATTTGGGGGGGAGCCCCGTGTTCACGGTGGGGAGGGAAAATGGGGCAAAAAACGGGGATTTTGGGAAAATTGGGAATTTTGGGAATGCTCGGGGGTCCCGGGGGGGATCTGGGGGAAAATTCGGAAATTTTGGGGGGGATTTGGGGGGAAAATTCTGGAATTTTGGGGGGATTTGGGGGGGAGCCCCGTGTTCACGGTGGGAAAAATGGGGCAAAAATGGGAATTTTGGGGAAATTCGGAAATTTTGGGGGTCCTGGAGGGGATTTGGGGTGGATTTTAGGGAATTTTGGGTGAATTTAAGCAGATTTGGGGTGGATTTTGGTGGATTTTGGAGTTTTTTGGGGTGGATTTTGGGTGTTTTCGGGCGGATTTTGGGTGAATTTAAGCAGATTTTGGGTGGTTTTGGGCGGATTTTGGGGTTTTTAGGTGGATTCTGGGTGTTTTCGGGTGCATTTTGGGTGTTTTCGGGTGGATTTTGGGTTTTTTTGGGCGGATTTTGGGGGTTTTTAGGTGGATTCTGGGTGTTTTTAGGGTGGATTTTGGGGTTTTTCGGGTGGATTTTGGAGTTTTTTGGTGGATTTCGGGGTTTTTGGGTGGATTTTGGGTGGTTTTGGGCGGATTTTGGGTGAATTTAAGCGGATTTTGGGTTTTTTTGGGCGGATTTTGGGGTTTTTTTGGGTGGATTTTGGGGTTTTTCGGGCGGATTTTGGGGTTTTTCGGGCGGATTTTGGGGTTTCTCGGGTGGATTTTGGGGTTTTTGGGTGGATTTGGGGGTTTTTCGGGCGGATTTTGGGTGAATTTAAGCAGATTTTGGGGTTTTCGGGTGGATTTTGGGTTTTTTGGGGTGGATTTTGGGTTTTTAGGGCGGATTTTGGGTGAATTTAAGCAGATTTTGGGTGGTTTTGGGTGGATTTTGGGGTTTTTAGGGTGGATTTTGGGGTTTTTGGGGTGCATTTTGGGGTTTTTAGGTGGATTTGGGGTTTTTCGGGCGGATTTTGAGGTTTTCGGGTGGATTTGGAGTTTTTCGGGTGGATTTTGGGGTTTTTCGGGCGGATTTTGGGGTTTTTGGGTGGATTTTGGGTTTTTAGGGTGGATTTGGGGTTTTTCGGGTGCATTTTGGGTGGTTTTGGGTGGATTTTGGGTTTTTTCGGGCGGATTTTGAGGTTTTCGGGTGGATTTTGGGGTTTTTCGGGTGGATTTTGGGGTTTCTCGGGTGGATTTTGGGTTTTTTCGGGTGCATTTTGGGGTTTTTCGGGTGCATTTTGGGGTTTTTCGGGCGGATTTTGGGGTTTTTCGGGGGTCCTGAGCGCTTTTGGGGACCCCCAGACCCTCGGGGGGCTCCACTTTGCCCACGTCAGGCACGGGGGGCTCTTCTTTGGGGCCACCACCGAGGGCGACGCCTCCCCCTTCACCCTCATCGAGTTCCTCAACAGGTAATTCCCAAAATTCCCAAAATTCCCGGAATTCCCGGAATTCCCGGGACCTCCGGAATCTTGGGGATGGCGGGGAATTTTGGGGGATTTTTGGGGGATTTTTGGGGGATTTTTTGGACTTTTTTTGGGGATTTTTTTTCGGGTTTTTTTTTATTTTTGGGGCAGATTTTGGTGATTTTTGGGTGGAATTTGGGGAATTTTGGGTGATTTTCGGGTGGATTTTTGGGATTTTTTTTTGGCAGATTTTGGTGATTTTTGGGGTGGATTTTGGGGTGGATTTTGGGTGATTTTTGGGTGGATTTTTGGGTGGAATTTGGGGAATTTTGGGTGATTTTTGGGGTGGATTTGGGGAATTTTGGGTGATTTTCGGGTGGATTTTTGGGATTTTTTTTGGCAGATTCTGGTGATTTTTGGGGTGATTTTGGGGTGGATTTTTGGGTGGAATTTGGGGAATTTTGGGTGATTTTCGGGTGGATTTTTGGGATTTTTTTTTGGCAGATTTTGGTGATTTTTGGGGTGGATTTTGGGGTGATTCTGGGGTGATTCTGGGGTGATTTTTGGGGTGATTTTTGGGGTGATTTTTGGGGTGACTTTGGGGTGATTTTGGGGTGGATTTTTGGGATTTTTTTGGGGCAGATTTTGGTGATTTTTGGGTGGATTTTTGGGGTTTTCTTTGGCAGATTTTGGTGATTTTTGGGGTGGATTTTGGGGTGATTCTGGGGTGGATTTTGGGTGATTTTGGGGTGACTTTGGGGTGGATTTTGGGGTGATTTTTGGGTGATTTTTGGGGTGATTCTGGGTGATTTTGGGGTGATTCTGGGGGATTTTTGGGTGGATTTTTTAGATTTTTTTGGGGTGATTTTGGGGTGATTTTTGGGGTGATTCTGGGGTGATTTTGGGGTGATTCTGGGGTGATTCTGGGGTGATTTTGGGGTGATTCTGGGTGATTTTGGGGTCTCCCCAGGCTGGTGACGCTGCTCCGGGATTTCTGCGGCCCCCTGAGCGAGAAAAGCCTGGCGATGAACCTGGCACTGGTGGGGGAGCTGCTGGAGGAGCTGGTGGTAACTGGGAGGGACTGGGAGGAAAACTCCCCAAAATTCCCAAAACCCCCCCAAAAAAATCCCCAAAAAATTTTAAAAAAAAATTTAAAAAAAAAATCCCCAAAAAATCCCAAAAAAATCCCCAAAAAATCCCCCGAAAATCCCCCAAAAATCCCAAAAAAATCCCAAAAAATGCCCTAAAAAAATCCAAAAAAAAAATCCCCAAAAATGCCCCCAAAATCCCAAAAAAATCCCCCAAAAAATCCCAAAAAAATCCCCAAAAAAAGCCCCCAAATCCCCCAAAAAATCCCCCAAAAAATCCCAAAAAAATCCCCCAAAAAATCCCTAAAAAAATCCCCAAAAAAATCTCAAAAAAAATCCCCAAAATTCCCGATTTTCCCCAGAATTCCCAGGATTTCGGCCACATCCAAACCACGAGCCCCGAGATCCTGTGGAGCCCCAAAAAATCGAC